TAGGCAGTATTCCCTCTACTTCTATCCTCTGAAAGATTGTAAAGAATTGGTATAATTTCTTCCATAATGTTTCTTAGAATTCAGTCAGCTGGGCCTATTGCTTTCTGTTTTGGAAGGTTATTGATTGACTCAATTTCTTTAATTCATGTAAGTCTATTTAACTGTCTACCTATCTATTTAAAGATTTTACTCATTTATTCATGAGAGACAGAGAGGCAGAGAGGCAGAGACCTAGGGAGGGGGAGAAGCAGGCTCCTCCCAGGGACCCCAATGTGGGACTCGATCCCTGGACTGGGATCACACACTGAGCCGAAGGCCGACAGACAGTTGCCGAGCCACCCAGGTATGCCTATCGATTTCTTGTAGGAGTCTTGGAATATTGTGTCTTTCATGAAATTGGTCCATACATAAAATCTATCAAAGTTGTTGATAATATTTCTAATGTTCTTGGGATCTATAGTGATAGCTCCTCTTTCATTTCTGATATTAGTAATTTGTGTTCTCTCTTTTTTTTTTCTTAGCCAGGCTAGAAGCTTACCAATTTCATTGATTTTTTCAAAGTACCAAATTTTGGCTTCATTGATTTTCTCTATTGATTTCCTGTTTTTAATTTCATTGATTTGTGCTCTAATTCTTATTTCTTCTGCTTACTTTGGATTTAATTTTGCTCTTTTCTAGTTTTCTAAAGTAGAAACTTAGATTATTGGTTTTTAGATATTTCTTTTCTAATATACATTCAATGCTATAAATTTCCTTCTAAGCACTTTTGTTGCATCCCACAAATTTGATAAGCTGTTTTTCATTTAGCTCAAAATATTTTAAAATTTCTCTTGGGATTTCTTCTTAACCCATGTGTTATTAAAAGTGTTTAATCTCCATGTATTTTAGGATTTTTCGTTTACCTGTTATTTATTTCTAGTTTAGATACATTGTGGTTCAAGAATGGACTTGTATGATTTCTATTTTTAAAATTTCTAATTTTAAAATTTGTTGGATTCATCTGTTTCTTTTTGCATCACATAATTTGATGCTCTGTTAGATTGTTAAAGATTGTTATATTTTCTTGGAGGATTAACCCAAATCGACCATTATGTAATGGTCATTATGTAATGTCCTTTATCCCTGATAACTTTTCATGCTTTGAAATCTGTTCCTTTTTTTTTAAATTTTTATTTATTTATGATAGTCACAGAGAGAGAGAGAGAGAGAGAGAGAGAGAGAGAGAGAGAGAGGCAGAGACACAGGCAGAGGGAGAAGCAGGCTCCATGCACCGGGAGCCCAACGTGGGACTCGATCCCGGGTCTCCAGGATCGCGCCCCGGGCCAAAGGCAGGCGCCAAACCGCTGCGCCACCCAGGGATCCCAAATCTGTTCCTTTTGAAAATTAGCTGCTCATGTTTTCTTTTTAAATTTTATTTATTCAGAGGAGAGAGACAGAGAGAGAGAGAGAGAGAGAGAGGCAGAGACACAGGCAGAGGGAGAAGCAGGCACCATGCAGAGAGCCTGACATGGGACTCGATCCAGGGTCTCCAGGATCACGCCCTGGGCTGCAGGCGGCGCTAAACCGCAGCGCCACAGGGGTTGCCCTTCATGTTTTCTCTTAAGATGGTATATTTTTCTCTATCCATTTGCTCTTAATCTGTATGTGTCTTTATATTTAAGGTGGGTTTCTTGCACAGTTTTTTGATCCATCTCTTTTAATTGGTATATTTAGACCAATGATATTCAGAGTGATTATTGATATAGTTGTATTAATATATATCAAATTTTTTACCGTTCCCTATTTGTTGCACTTGTTCTTTTTTCCTATTTCTGTCTTCCATTCTTTATCTGGTTTTGTGTTTTAATTGAGCATTTTCTCTGAGTCCATTTTTTCTCCTTCCTTACATATTGGTTATACTTCTTTTAAAAACTTTTTTTTTAAAACGTGGGTGCCCCAGAATTTGCAATATACATTTGCAGCTAATCCAAGTCAACTTTCAAATAACACTTCACAGGTAGTACAAGGACCTTATAATAACAAAATAATCCTCCCTCCAGGCCCTTTTATCATTGCTGTCATTCATTGCACTTATGTATGTTTATATATGGCATACATAACCAAACACATTGTTGGAATTCTGAACAAACTGTTATCTGTTAGAGCAGTTAAAAGTTTTGTTTTTACTTACTCCTTCTTCATTGCTCTTCCTTACTTAATATAGGACTGAGTTTCTGACTTGTATAATTTTCCTTCTCTCTAAAGAGAAAATTTTAACACTTCTTGCAAGGCAGGTCTACTGGCAACAAATTCCATTAATTTGTGTTTGTCTGAAAAAGTAGTTCTTCACTTTTGAAGGATAGTTTTGCAGAGTAGAATTCTAGGTTGGTGACTTCTTCAACACAAAATAGTTCATTTTCTTCTTGTTAACATGATTTCTGAGCAGTTGAATGTGATCTTTACCTTTGTTTCTCTGTATGTAGGGGAGATGTTTTTCCCCCTCGCTTCTTTTAGGATTTTATCTTTGATTTTCTGTAACTTGAAAATGATATACCTAAGGTATAGTTTTTCTGGCATTTATCTTTTTTGGTATTCTGAATTTCCTGAATCTGTGATTTGCTATCTGGCACTAATTTGGGGGAAAATCTTAGTTATTATTGTTTTAAATTTCTCTTCCTTCTTTTGGTATTCTAATACCTTTTGCAGTTGTCCCACAGTCATAGGATATTGTTATTTTTAAGTCTTTGTTCTCTTTGCTTTTGAGCATTCTATTGATATACCCTCTGGCTCAGGGATTTTTTTTTAAATTCAATTAGCCAACATATAGTACATCATTAGTTTCAGATGTCGTGTTCAATAAATTATCAGTTTCCTCAGCTGTGTCCAGTCTAATAAGCTGATCAAAGACATTCTTCATTTCTGTTAGTGTTTAATTCTAGAATTTTTCTTTCCTAGGATTTTTCTCTTTTATTGCCTACACTTTCTTGCATGCTTCATGCATCCATTAGAGCCCTTACCATATTAATTATAGTTTAAAATTCCTAGTCTGATAATTCTAATACCCCTGCCATGTCTGGTTCTGATGGATGCTCTGTCTCTTCAAATTGTGTATTTTTTGCCTTTTAGCATGGCTTGTAATTTTTTGATAGCTGGACATGATGTACTGGACAAAAGAAACAGCTATAAATAGGCCTTTAGTAATGTGTAGAGGGACAAGTGTTCTATAGTCATATGATCAGGTCTCAGTGAGCCTGTATACAAGACTGTCAAACACTTAACAAGTGTTTCTCAGTGCCTTCCTCCTTGCCTAGGTGGGACAGGATGGCTAGAGAAGGTTAGAGTTGTGAATGTCCCTTCCTCCATAATAATTAGGTATTTTTTTTTTTTTAAAGTTAAATTCAAATTGCCAACATATAACAGCCAGTGCACATCTCATCATGTGCCCTCCTACGTTCTGGTTAACTAGTTTCTTTTGAGAGCAGGCTTTCTTAAAAAATAATACTCTGATACATTTCAAAATTGTTCCATCCACCCTTCTCCCAACACATACACCCCAAATGTTGGAAGCACAATAGGTTCTCCTCTTATATTTACTGTGGGAACCTATTCCTGAAGGTAAGTCTTACAATGTTTACGGAACCCCACTATGACTGGGTTCCTTGGAGCTTAATTCTCAGATTTGTCCATGCTGAGCCTCTGGCAATTTGCCGATCACAATTCAGGTCTTCCTACTGTGTGTTGGTTGTACCTGTGTTGGTTTCTGCTCCTGCATTTTTGCTTTCAATCCTAAGGTCTTCAAATAAATGTGGAACCAGAAACAAACTCTACAGTGCACTTGGAATACTCACCAAGAAAGATTAAATGCTGAGTTTTTATATATTCCTAAGGATTGAAATCATACACAGATGTTCCCTGCCTATAAAAGAATTATAACAGGTAAAAAAAAAATTCTCCAAATATTTAAAAATCAATTATAATCACTAAAACACTGATAAAGCTTAATTAGGATAAAAATTAATACTTATAAAACTAGTATGAAGGTTAAAAGACAAAAGTAGGTAAAAAGGGATACACAAAAAGATATAAAATTTGACATCAGAAAACAATATGGTGGGAAGAGAGTAAAAATATATAGCTTAAGAATGTGTTCAAGGGTGCCTGGGAGGCTCAGTAAGTTAAGTGTCTGCCTTTGGCTTGGGTCATGATCTCAGGGTCCTGGGATAGAGCCCCATGTTGGGCTCCCTGTTCAGCGGGAGTCTGCTGCTCCCCTCTGTACCTCCTCCTGCTTGTGCTGTCTCTCACAAATCTTTCTTAGAAAATTACTTAAAAAAATGCATTCAAACTTGTTATATGTAAACCTCATAGTAACCACAAAAGCCTAGTAGTTAAAAGAGAAAGGAATCTCAGTATACCACATACACACAAAATCATCAAATCACAAATGAACAAAAAAGGAATAAAGTAATTACAAAACAGAAAACAATTCAAAAAATGACCATAAGGAGATTATATATGTAATTATATATATAAATATAAAAACAATTATTTTTAATGTAAATGGACTAATTTCCTCAATCAAGACACAGTGACTAAATGGATTAAAAGAATAAGACCTACAAGAAACTCACTTCGGATATAAGAACGCAGACTGAAAGTGAAGGGATGGAAAAAGCTATTCCATGCAAATGGTAACCAAAGGAAAGCCAGGGTAGCTACATTTACTATATTAGAAAAAATAGGCTTTAAGACAAAGACTAGTAACTATTGTTATTACATAACAATAAATGGGCCAATCCAATAGGATATAACATTTGTAAATATTTGTAAATATACACCCAATATAGGTACTCTTAAATATATAAATCAAATATTAACATTTAAAGGGAGTGATTTACAATTAGTACATTAGGGGACTTTAGTATTCCACTTTCATCAAGGGATAGATTATCTAAACAAAATAAGGAAACACTGGCCTTAAGTGACACTTTAGACTTGATGGACTTAATAGAGATAGATAAACAGTGCTTGCTTTGGGAGCACCTACACTAAAATTGGAAAGATACAGAGAAGATTAGCATTGCCCCTGTGCAGGATGACGTGCAAATTCGTGAAGCATTCCATATTTTTGAACACCATTAAATTCAGTCATCTTTGATATTTTGCCAGCTTTCAATAATAAAATATCCATAGGTTTTGAGCAAAAGCCAGACACAGAAGAGTATAGTGCCTAATTCCGTTTAGATGAGGTTCTGTAATAGGGAAACTAAACTATGGTGATAGAAATTAGATGGGTGATTGCTTGCAGGAGAGAAGGGGGGGAAATTGGGTACAAATAGGCATAAAGTAACTTTCTAGGCTAATGGTAATTGATTCAGGTAGTAGTGACACAATGTATTTGTTTAAAACTCCCCAAACTATGCCCTTAAAATGTGTGCATTTTATTATATGTAAAAACATCTCAAACAAAATAAAACGAAAGTAGAGATATACTGAACATTTTATCCCAAACCAAGAGAATATACATCCTTCTTAAGTGCTCATGGAACATTCTCCAGGATGGATCATATGTCAGGCTAGACAACAGGTCTTAATAAATTTAAGAAGACTGAAGTCATATTGAGCATCTTTTTCAACTACAATAGTATGAAACTAAAAATCAATTACAAAAAGATAACTGGGAAAATCATAAATATGTGGAGATTAGACAACATGCTACTGAACAACCAAAGGGTCAAAGAAGAAATCGAGAAAACAAAAATACTTTGAGATGGATGGAAATGGAAATACAACAGAACAAATCTATGCATTACAGCAAAACCAGCTGTAAGATGGAAGTTCATCGGGATAATCAACTATGTTAAGAAACAAGAAGGGGCGCCTAGATGGCTCATTGGTTGAGTGTCTGCCTTTAGCTCAGTTGTGATCCTGGGGTCCTGGGATCAAGTCTCGCACCAGGCTCCCCGTGAGGAACCAGCGCTTTTCCCTCTGCCTCTGTCTTTCTTATGAATAAATAAAATCTTTTAAAAAAAAGAACCTCAAATACGCAGCCCAACATTACACCTCCAATAGAAAAAAATGAAGCCCCAAGTTAGAAAGAAGTAAATAACAAAGATGAGGGTAGAAATAAATGAAAGAGACTAAAAAGACAGTAGAAAAGATAAAAGATCAATGAAACTTAGAGCAGTTTCTATGAGAAGATAAAATTGACAAACCTTCAGCTAAACTCACCAAAGAACAAGAACCACTCTCCCAAGAAATGAAAGATGTTACAATTGATAACACAAGGATCATAAGATACTCTGAACAATTATATGCCAACAAATTGGACAACCTAGAAGAAATGGATAAATTCCTTGAAACAAAGCAAGACTGAGTCAGGAAGAAATAGAAAATCTAAAAAGACCACTTACGACTAAGGATATTGAATCAGTAATCAAATACCTCCCCAAAAATAAAAAATCCAAGACCAGACAGCTTCCCTGGTGAACTCTGCCAAACATTTAAAGAATTAATACTTCTCAAACTCTTCCAAAAAAATAGAAGAGGAGGGAATACTCTCAAACCATTTTTATGAGGCCAGCATTACCCTGATACCAAAACCATACAAGGCCACCACAGAAAAATAATTACAGGCCAATATCCTTGATGAAAATATATGCAAAAATCCTTAACAAAATTTTACCAAATTAAATTCAAGAATACATTAAAAGGATCACACACCATGATCAAATGCAAAGATAGTTCAACATTTACAAGTCAAACATGATAGACCACACTAACAAAATTAAGGATAAAAATCATATCAATAAATACAGAAAAAATATTTGACAAAATTCAACCATCCTTTTACAATAAAAACTCTCAACAAAGTGAGTATAGGGGAATGTACTTCAATATAATATAGGCCATATATGACAACCCCATAGCTAATATCCTATGCAATACTGAATTCTGGAAGACTTTCCTCTAAAATCAGGAACAAGGCAAGGACGTCCACTCTCATCACTTCTATTCAACACAGTATTAGAAGTCCTCATTATAACAATTAGGCAAAAAAAATGAAAGCATCCAAACCAGAAGAAAGAAGTAAAATGACTATCTGCAAATGACATATATTTATATATAAAGTCCTAAAGACTTCATCCAAAAACTGTTACAACTAATATATTCAGTAAAACCACAGGAGACAAAAATCAATATAAAAAAATCTGTTGCACTTCTATGAATAACAGACCATCAGAAAGGGAACTTAAACCTATCCTATTTACAGCTACATCAGAAAGAATATTTAGAAGTAAATTGAACCAGGAAGGTAAAAAACTGAAAATTATGATATTGATGAAAGAGATTGAAGACACAAATACACAGAAGATATTGCATGTTCATGGAGAAGAATTAATATTGTTAAAGTGCCCATACTACCCAAAGCAATCTACAGTTTAAATGCTATCACTATTCAAATTCCAATGACATTTTTAAAAATTTAAATTCAATTAACATATAGTGTATTAGTTTCAGAGGCAGAGTTCATTGATTCATGGTTTCGTACAACACACAGTGCTCATGACATTAAGTGCCCTCCTTAATGTCCATCACCCAATTACCCCATCCCCCCATGCCCCTCCCCTCCAGCAACCTGCAGTTTGTTTCCTATGGTTAAGTGTCTCTTATGGTTTGTTGCCCTCTCTTATTATATCTTGTTTTATTTTTCCTTCCCTTCCTCTAAGCTCCTCTGTTCTGTTTCTTAAATTCGACATATGAGTGAGATAATTACTGTCTTTTTCTGATGGACTTACTTCATTTATAATACCCTCTAGTTCCATCCAACCAAATTCCAATGACATTTTTCACAGAAGTAGAATAATCTTAGAATTTGTATGGAACCACAAAAGACCCTGAATAACAAAGCAATCTTGAGAAAGAAAAAAGCTGGGGCAGCCCAGGTGGCTCAGCGGTTTAGTGCCGCCTTCGGCCCAGGGTGTGATCCTGGAGATCCGGGATTGAGTCCCATGTCGGGCTCCCTGCATGGAGCCTGCTTCTCCCTCTGCCTGTGTCTCTGCTTCTCTCTCTCTGTCTCTCTGTCTTTCATGAATAAATAAATAAAATCTTAAAAAAAAAGAAAAAAAAAAGAAAAAAGCTGGAGGCATCACAATCCCTGACTTTAAGCTATGTTACAAAACTATAGTAATCAAAGCAGTATGGTATTAATGGGATACAGTAGAGCAACCAGAAATAAATACATGCATATATACGGTCAATTAATTTACACCAAAGGAGCCAAGAACATACAATGAGGGAAGGACAGTCTCTTAAATGATGTTGAGAAAATTGAACCACTTATGTTATACCATACACAAAACTAACTCAAAATGGATAAAATCTTGAATGTAAAACCTGAAATCAATGTAAAACTCCTAGAAGGAAAAAAAAGGCAGTTCAGCTCCCTGACATCAGTTTTAGCATTGAATTTTCGGATTTGACCCTCAAATCAAAGGCAGCAAAAGCAAAAGTAAATGGGACTACATCAAACTAAAAAGCTTCTGCACAGCAAAGGAAATCAACAAAATGAAATCAACAAAATAAAAGGCAACTTACTGAATGGGAGAAAATATTTGCAAATCATATATATGATAAAGGGTTAATATCCAAAATATAAAAGGAATCCTACAACTCAACAGCAAATAAATAAAACAATATGATTAAAAAAGGAGCAGAGGATCTGTATAGACATTTTTCCAAAGAAGACATACATAAGGCCAACAGACACATTAAAAAGTGCTCAATATCACTATCAGGGAAATGCATATCAGAACCATAATGAAGGACGCCTGGGTGGCTCAGGGTTTGTGTGTTTGCCTTTGGCTCAGGGCTTGATCCTGGGGTCCTGGGATTGAGTTCTGCATCAGGCTCCCTGCATGGAGCCTGCTTCTCCCTCTGCCTGTGTCTCTGCCTCTCTCTGTCACTCATGAATAAAATCTTTTTAAAAACCCCGGAAACACAAAACCATAATGAGATGTCACCTCACACCTGTTAGAATGGCTATTATCAAAAGGACAAGAAAAAACAAGTGTTGGTAATGACGTGTAGGAAAGGGAACACTTATGCTTTGCTGGTGAAAATATAAATTGGTGCAGATGCTGTGGAAAACAGTAGAGACATTCCTCAAAAAATAATAAAAAAATCCAGAACTATCACATGATTCAGCAAGTCCACTTCAGGGTATTTATTAGGAGAAAACAAAACACTGACTTCTGGGGTAGATGGCAGAGTAAGAGGACCCTAAGCTCACCTTGTCCCACAGATAATATTCCCATCAGTGTAAATAACCCAGAAAATGGCTGAAGACTGGAGAATAAACTCTTCAATCTAAATACAGGAAAGAGGCCCCATGAGGGTGGTAGGATGGGCAGAGCTGGAGATGGCAGCTAAGGGGACCTGTGGGACTGCCGCCAGGAGGGGAGGGGGATGCTGTGGCCTCAGTGGGGAGTGAAACACCAGAAGGCCCACATGGGAGAGATGAATCCCCTTGACGTCTGGCTTTGAAAACCCGAGAGTGTCAACTTCATAAGTTCTTGCCATCAGTGGGACTTAAATCTGGAGCTTTAAAAATCAGCATGCTTGGTGCTGAGAGCCAGGCAGGAAGGAGGGAACGGAATCCCTGCCCTTAAGGAGCAGTACAGCAGCCTTAGAGATGCAGCATAGAAGTCAGTGTGTAATCAGAGGGAGATTTGTTTACTAACTTCAGAGCCCGTGCTAGGAGGGCAGGGATCACTGGGAGACTTCTCCAGAACAAAGGAGCTGAGAGGCACCATGCCTAGCCCCCACCCCCCAGCCACCTACCTGCAAACCACACGGCTGTCGGTGGGAACCGAGCACGGCCACGGCCAACATTCCCTACCTAACTTGCTACCCCTCTCTCCTCCAGAAACGCCACCTGCAGACGCCTCTGCTCCAGGTCCCCTCCCAGCGCAGACCCATACAAAAGTGCTGACACCTCACGCTGTGCCCACTCTGATCTGCCCTCTGGTCTGGAGCCCGCCCAGGGCTGTGCCGCAAGCCTGGCAGTGTACAAGCGGCCCTGAGGGGGCCAGTGCCACTCCAAAGCGACTCCTGCCCCAGGGAGAGGG